TTTTGGCTTTGGACTATATGAAGTAGAATATGGCATCAGGATCAGAGGAAGACTCATCAACAACCTATGATATGCAGATGACACAGCCTTGCTTGCTGAAAGTGAAGCAGACTTGGAAAACTTACTGATACAGATCAAAGATTGTGGCTTTTGGTATGGATTACACCTCAACATAAAGAAAACAGAAATCCTCACAACTGAACCAATAGGCAGCATCATGATAAATGGAGAAAAGATCGAAGCCGTAGGGATTCCCTTTTACTTGGATCCACAACCAACACTCATGGAAGCAACAGTCAAGAAACCAAATGATGTCTTGCAATGGGCAAACATGCTGCAATAGATCTCTTTGAAGTGATAAAGAGCAGAGATGTCACTCTCAAGAAGAAGGTGCCCCTGACCAAAGCTCTGGTATTTTCAGTAGCCTCATGTGAATGTGGGGAACTCTGGTGGCGTAGTGCCTAAGGCATTTGACTGCTAACCAGAAGGCTGGAGGTTCAAACTCACCAGCCACTCCTCAGAAGGAAGGTTGGGCAATCTGCTTTCATAGAGAGACTGCCTTGAGAATGCAACAACTCTATAGCAGTGAGTTTGGTTTTTGGTTCCATGTGCATGTGAGAGCTGGACAATGAATAAAGAAGACTGCAGAAGAGGTGATGCATTTGAGTTGTGGTGTGCCAAAGAATAGTGAATGTAAAATAGAAGAATGGACAACTCTATCTGGAGAAAGGACAGCCTGAATGATCCTTAGAAGCAAGAATGACTAGACTTTGTCTCTTAACTTCGGTTATTTTGTCAGAAGAGCCCATTCCCTGGAGAAGGACATTATGCTTGGTAAAGTGGAGGGCGAGCAAAGAAGGGGAAATACCTCAATGAGATGGACGGAGACAGTGGCTATAACCATGGGCTCAAGACAATGATTGTGATGGTGGCATGGGACCAGTGGTGTTTTGTTCTGTTGTAAATATGGTCATTATGAGTTGGAACCGACTCAACGGCACCTAACAACAACAACAAGAGTATCTACTATCTGTCTGTCTGTCTGTCTGTCTCTCTTATCTATCTATCCATCCACACACACACTTATCTGTCTGTCTACCTCTCTATTCACACACACACACACACACACACACACATCTGTCTGTCTGTCTATATGTGTATATACGGGTATGTGATGCTTAACATTCAGAATATGTTCTGTGAAGCAGGATGTTATGTGATTTGGACATTGTGTCAACACCTCTGTCCTCAGGGCATGGGTTCATGGCTCACAGGTGCCCTGGCTTGGGGGCTGCTGTGCAGCACATGGCCTGGGCAGCTACCACTGTGGACACCTCAGGTGAATGCTTGGCCAGGTCCCACCCAGCTGTCACCATCTTTTCTGCTAAGTCAGCTGCCTGGAGGGCCAGCTCACCTGTGAGAACCTGCCTGAGGAGAGGGCAGTGTGGACCAACAGAACAGAGGGTGTCTGAGCCAGGGCTGGAATCATGCCTTTCCACTGGTGCCTGGCAGGACCACAGCTGGCAAAAGCAGCAACAAGACCCCCTGACTAATGGGAGCTGGTGGGGGATGAGGGTTGGGGGTTTTAGCTGGGGCCTCCCTCACTGCTGACTAGGCAGCTTCTCGGCTGCACAAAGCAGCTGGGCAGAAGTGGGGCTCTGACCTCAAGATGAGGGTCAGACACCTTGCTGCCCTAGAACACCAGCGTATATACAGTGAGACATTTCCTGAATGGATGCTAAGTGATGCATACCTTCAGAGAGAAAGTCTAGAGATATACTTAGTAGTTGTTGGGTGACGAGATGGTGGAGTATTTTTTAATGTAAATAATCTTTTATTGATCTTGTTTTTCTGCATTGGGCATGGGGTGCTGTAATAATAACAGAAGCACTGTTAGTTATCGTGAAAAGTTTTAAACACACGTCAGAGTGAGTCTCATAATTTTCCTCCTGCTCTCCCTTCATGTCTTCCTTTCCCTTCCTTCCTCCCTTTCCCTCCTCTTCCCCTCCAGGTGGATTCTTATGTTGTTGTTGTTGTTATGTGCCGTGGAGTTGGACCCGACTCATAGCGACCCCTCCTTGGGTTTCCGAGGCGGTATCACAACGGAAGTAGATTGCCCAACCTTCCTTCCAAGGAGTGGCAGGTGGGTTTGAACCACCAGCCTTCTGGTTAGCAGTCAAGTGCCTTAGGCCCTGTGCCACCAGAGCTCCTGTGGATTCTTATAGGTGCTCCTTTCCTCTTCAATCTGGACAGCTCAGGGGTGGCAGTGGTGACTAAATACCCCACTACTTTTCCAAGAAAGCCTTCTGAGTCATGTATTTATAAGATCAACTTTTGCAAGGCCCCAAATGTTGTGTCTTTCTTGGCCAGCCATCATTTCCTAGCATCTAGCATTTCTGTGAGACCGTGGAAGTCAGCTTCCTGTGTGCCCATCTCTGCCTGCATCACTAGCACCTCCCCGTGCAGCAGCAAGACCTTCTTCCCAAAGACGAGACCTATTGCCCAGGAGTGGACTCAGAGTCATATGGGCCCCATGTGGCTCAGAGCAGGCCTGTGCTGCACCAGGCTTTCAGTGGCTGATTCTTTGGAAATAGGTCAAGAAGCCTTTCCTCCGAGGTGCCCATGGCTGGACTTGAATTTCCAAACCTTCAGTTAGTAGCCAAGTGCTTAACCACTCAGGGACTCTTCAAAAATCTCTCCTGTGACCCCAAGTCCAATTTGGCAGGGTGTCTGCAGCCTTTGTGCTGAGTGCCCCTGGGAAGTTGTTTTCCTTTTGATCTACTCCATAGTGAGTGCCTGAGACTGGACGCCACCCTTCCTTCTCCAGCACCTGGTGATATCAGAGTGCCAGGACCATAGAGAGGGGTGAGGATTCAAACACCAATTGCTTTAGTCTTGTGGCTGCTACAACACAGCTCCAGAAACCAGTGACTCACAGAGCTGAAATTCATTCTCCCAGAGTTCTGGAGGCCGGAAGTCTGAATCAGGACGTCAGCCTTCTGCTCCCTGAGGATCTCGAGAGGAGGATGCTTCCTTTTCTCTTCCAGCTTCTGGCATCCGCAGATGCTCCTTGGCTTTGTGGCAGCATTACTCCAGTCTCTGTCTCTGTCATCACATGGCTGCCTTCTCTCTGTGTGTCTCCAAATCTCCTGCTGCGTTAGGGCCCACCCTCCTCCTGTGTGCTCTCATCTTAACTTGAGTAGCATCTACGAAGACTCTATTTTTAAACAAGTTACCTTCTCAGGTACTGAGATGAGGATCTTCTCTGGAGGACGTGATTTAACCATGATCTTTCTTTAAGACAGCCTCAGAGGGACCCAATGACTCTTGGCCTCCGTGAGGCCCTTTGATGGGGTGACTTAGCCCCCACGTGCATGGACAGCCCTGATTATAACTGCCACCAGCTCATTGCATCCTCAAAAGTGTCTTCTTGGGCTGCACATTTCCTGGCCACCAACTCCTAGGCACCCAGGCTCCTCTGCCTCCCTCACCTCAACTGGCCAGGGAATGTTTTCCTGCCCATCACCCTCCTGCAACCCCTGAAGCACAGTGGTTTGATCCCCTCAGCAGAATGGTCTGCTCTTTGACCATCCCCTCTGTCCCTGGACTGGTCATTCACATGTGTGGGCTCCAGGGGGCACTGTGCACAAGGTGCAGCTCTGTAGTATTGCCCCAGTGTGAACCCAGGGAAGTTGCCTCATGCAAGTCAGGCTTAGTGCCCCAGCCACCTCTCCCACCTCCATTTCCCATGAACTTCCTCCTTCCCCTGTACTCTATCCCCAGCTCTCCAGGCACTTACGGTGTCTCATTACCCTAACTGCTCTACTCTGCCCCTTCTCAACCCACCAGGCTTTAGGAATATTGGCCTTCATGCCAGCCCACCAAATCCTGAGTTTCCAAACTCCACACTTCTCTTACTCCCATGATAGTGGGGGTCCACCTGCAGTGCCTCCCCTTCCCAGTTCTAGATGTCAGACCCCAAATCCTCTTCTAGAACTGTACTCATCCCTTCACTCAACAAACACTGACTGGCTGCTTGTAGCATGTCAGGCCCCACATTCATGCAGAACATGAAATTATGAACAAGAGCAGACAAGGCTGCTGCCCTCATGTGACTCCAGCCATCACCAAAGGCACTGCAGCGTGACAGCTGGACATGGTGCAGGCGCGGGCTGTGAGGGTGAATTCTATGTGTTCACGTGGCTGCGTGGAGGTTCCAGGTGGCCTGGCCAACCACTAGTCTAGCTGCTGTCCTGGAGTGGTTGGTTGCATGTGGTTAGATCGGTTGCCCATCGGCAGAGCAGATCACTTTGACAATGCAGTGTAATGCAGTGTAGTCATGTCCATAATGCAACCTCATGTAAAGTGATCACCATCCAGGGAGCCTGATGGCACAGTGGTTAAGTGCTTGGATGCTAACCAAAACTTGGCAGCTTGAACCCACCAGCCACTCCACAGGATATAGATATGACCACCTACTTCTGTAAAGATTACAGCATTGGAAACCCTATGGAACACTTCTACTTTATGGCATGCAGTCACCATGAGTTGGAACTGGTTTAGTGACAACAGCTTTTTAAATCATCTTCCATTCTGAAATCTAATGTAATGTAGTCTAATGTAGTCACCTTCCACAATGCAATCTAATGTAATCAAATGATCAGTCATCAGTTGTTGTTCTACTAGTGAAGGGTGGGTCCTAACCCTAATCACTTCTGAGTTATAAGAAGAACAGCAAAAATGCAGAGGCACACATGAGAGAAGACTGATGCCATGTGAGGCATGTCTAAAAGGAAATGAATGTCAAGGATTGCCAGCAGACCCCAGAAGGTAGAAGAGAAGAGATGGAATGGCTGAGACCTTGATTTGGACTTTTTAGCCACCAGAGCAGTGAAAGAAAATTTCTCTTTTTTAAAGCCACCCACTTGTGGTCTTGGTGTTCTGCTGACCTTGTATCAAGAAGGATGCTAGGGAAGATTCCAGGAGTGGTAGCTGGGAGGAAAGGTCCATTGGGGGTGACACTGGGAAGAACACAAGAGTTAAAGGCACAAAGATAAATACTATTACATCCCTGTCTTAAGCCAGGTTCTTTAGAAAAACAAAACCAGTCAAGCTTAAAAACATATACATATATTACACACACACACACACGTAGAGAGGGGGAGAGAGAGAGATTCATCTCACCGAGTCGTAGAGGCTGGCAAGTCTCAAATCTGTAGGTCAGACATCAAACTGGAGGCTTCTCCTGACTCATGAGGCTGCAGGGGCTGGTGAACTGAAGAACTCAAGATCAGCAGGCAATACAGCAGACTGCTCACTTCAGAGGCTGACAAGTCCAAGATCGGCAGGTAATATGGCAGGCTGTTGGTTCATGGGCTGTGAGGAACAATCCCCAAATCAGTGAGCAATACAGCATGGCATTGGTTCAACTTCAGGGATGGAGGAGGATGATGAGCCAGATGCAGGATCCAGATCTGGCAGAATGTCAGAGAGCTTTGCCAGGACCTCCATGGCCACACCCTCGAGGAGACTCCCTTTCACCTGATTGGTTGCTCACTGCAGAGCTCATCGTGGAGGTGATTACATCGGATTAGATCTCATCATGAGGGATAATTACACCACAACTGCTTAACCAGAGGATCCTGGCCCAGCCAAGTTGACACACAACCTTCTCATCACAATGCTCAATCCTGCAACAACAGGAAGAACAATAAGTGATGAGTGGATACATAGATGGACACTCCAGCTGAACAGGATGGAAGGTGAATGGGACTACACTCATGAGTATATATAGGTTTGGCAGTGGATATCTCTACCTATGTATTTATATGTGCTGCAAATAGATCCATGAACATATAGTAGAACATACAAGGGCAAAGTTATGAAAACTTCTTAGCCATAACCAAATACCTTGAGGGCATGAATTAGTGGGGCTGGAGGCTCAGAGCTATAGTCTCAGGGGACACTAAGGTCGACCCTTGAGGGAATGAGTTGATGGGATGGAAGGCTTAGAGCCACAATCTCAGGGAGACACTAAGGTCAATTTGTGTAACACAGTCCACAAAGACATTGCTCTACATCCTACTTTGGTGAGTAGCAATGGGGGTCTTGGGAGCTTGTGAGCGGCCATCTAAGGTACAACTCTTGGTCTCTCCCCATTTGGAGCAAAGAAGAGTGAAGAAAATCAAAGACACAAGGGAACAATTCGTCCTAAGGACTGATGGACCATGTGAACCCCAGCGTCCATGACTCTGAGACCAGTACTAGGTGATGCTACCACTGCTGACCAGTCTGAAACTGATGATGGCAGGAGGTCCAGCATAGAGTGAGGGAAGATGTGGAACAAAACTCAAAATCATAAGAAATAGCAGGTTTACTGGTCTGTTAGAGACTGGTGGAACCACAGGAATATGGTCCTTAGACACCCTGCAAGCCTGGAACCAAACTCACCCCACCCCTACCTGTGGCTTCCACCCAAACAATAGATAGGCCTATAAGGTGAGCAATAACGAACCAGAGAGGCATGCGCTCATTAGAGCAACCAACCACACAAGATAAAAAGGGCAGTATTCGACCAGGGATAAAGCTGAGAATGAACATAGCTAAAGCTGGGCAACGAATAAGGAAGACCAACAAAGTGGTACCTTTGAAATTGTGGTGTCGGCAAAGAATACTGATAATGCCATGCACTGCCAGAAGAAGGAGCAAATCTATCCTGGAGGAAGTACAGCCAGGACTCTCCTCAGAAACAAGAATGGCCAGACTTCGGCTCACCTACTTTGGTCATGTTGTCCGAAGGGACTGTTCCCTGGAAAAGGACATCACACTTGGTAATGAGAGGGTCATTGCAAAAGGGGCAGACCCTCAACGAGATGGACTGACATGCGGCTGCAGCGATGGGCTCAAGCACAGTGAGTATTGTGAGGCTGGTGTGGGAGCAGGCAGTGTTTCCTTCTGTTGTCCACGGGGTCACGTTGAGTCAGAGCTGACTTGATGGCACCTAGAAAACAGTGACAACAAAGCGAAGAAGACAAAAAACAGTAGGAAAGAAGGATGAAGGGAAACTAAGCACAGGGAGGAAGTGGGAAGAGAGCTGCTACCCTGCGGGTACTGCCATCAATGTCATCAATGGATGGATCATTGAATGGAAAACCAATTTGCTTTATAAACTTTCACCCAAATCACAACTAAAAAAATTATCAGGATGAAAAAGAGATTGCTCATAAAGCATGCACACGGGTCTCACCGCAACTTTACTCATCATTGCCAAGAATCAGAGGCAACCAAAGCATCCTTCAGTGGGGAATGGGTCAAACTGTGGGCTCTGCATACAGCGAAGCATTGTTCAGTCGTAAACGAAAAGCCACAGAAGACATGAAGAACCCTTCCATGCGCTGCTGAGTTACAGGAGCCAGGCTGAAAACTACACACTGCAGGATTCCAACCATATGAACAGCTGCAAAAGTCTGAAAGGGAAAACCACACAGAGGGCAGAAACACCGGTGGTTCCAGGGGCTTGAAGGTGGGGCAGAGGGACGAATGGGTGGAGCACTGGCAGTTTTCAGGACAGTGAAATGATTCCACAAGACATTGTGACAGCGGACACATGGAGTTGTGCATTTGTCAAAACCCACATGACTGTACAACGGGGGTGTGAACTCTGAACCTTAGGTAGTGATCAGGTGGCAGCATTGGCCCATCAGCTGTCACCAGCGGATGGTGTGCAGGGCGAGGGGATCTGTGGAGTCTCTGCAGTGTCTGCACAACTTTTCCGCAACCTAAACAAGCCGAAGCCAGACTCACTGCCGTCGAATAGATTCTGACTCTCAGTGACCCTCGTTGGGGTTCCAAGGCTGTCAATCTTTACAGAGGCAGACTGCCTCATCTTTCTTCTGTGGAGCAGCTGGTGGGTTCAAACCACTGACCTTTAGGTTAGCAGCCAAATCCCTTAAACACTGTACCACCAGAGCGCCTTGTGAACCTACCAGTGCTCCAAAACGTGATCTATAAGAAAAGGAAAGAAGAAATGGTTCTTTTTGCTCCTTCCTTTTCCCTTCGGAAGGCCAAGGCTTCCAGCCAGGTGTGAGCCCAGGAGGGGTGCAGGCCTGTCAAGAATGGAGGCCTGTCATCTCTTACCTCGGCTCCTCTCCTGACTCAGCCTGCCGGTGCTGCCGGAACAGAAATAACTCAAGTGGAGGCTTTAAAGAGCAGAAATTTATTGTCTCCCGGTGAGGTTAGAAGTCCGAATTCAGGACACTGGCTCTGGGGGCAAGTTCTCTCTCTGTGACAAGGCGGGGAGCTCCCTGTCTCTTCAGCTTCCTGGCTCAGTGGTGACCTTCCTGTGCCGTCTTCCCGCACCTCTCCATGTTTGCCTCTGGGCCTCACCTACTCCTTTTACATCTCGGCGACGTTGGCTTCTGACACACCCCGCACTGACATGACTCAGAGAAAACCCTACTCCCAAATGGAATCACATACAGAGGTATAGGGGTTAGGATTTGCAGCACAAAATTTTGGGGGACACATTCAGTCCATGACCTCTCCCCAGGACTAGAGCTCTCCGCTGCAGAGCCCCGAATTCTCATTGATCATTTCCTTCCTCTAGTTTCTGATTCCTTCTTGTCATTTGCTTAGGAGCTCAGTCAAAATGGTGATTTGATCAGCATTTTAACTTATATATTTATTTATAGAATGTTCTGTCCTAAAAGGATGTGATGATGAAGATCAAACCCATAGTCTTCACTGAAAACAGGCCGAGGGATGGCGTGGCCTCCACGCCTTCCAGCCTCACTCAGTCACAGAGGTTTTCACGAAGCCGTCCTTCTGCAGGGGTGGATGTGGGTAAGGGCTTTTTATCAAACCCGGGAAGACAATGGATTTACTGTTCTAAACTCTGAGTCTGAATGTATGTGATAGGCAGTTAGCTAAGGAGGTATGTACTGACTACAGAGGGAAGTCACATTGCCACTTTACAGTGGAGAAACTTGGAGAGAACAACTTTAACTGAGTGATCGAGATTAGCAAGCCAGGTAATGAAATGTGTCAACATCATAAACCCACCAAGGCTCTGACATCATCTCGGTGACACTCGACAGAAGCCGTCATGAGGAACCATCAGTCCAAACTGAGGGACACACAGCACAACAACTGGTCAAACTGCCGAGTGTTGAGGTCATGAAAGACAAGGAGAGAGGGATGAGAAGACACAAGGAATACCGCTTCCAAACTGAGACGCACAGAGAACGCTTTTCACCTATGCATCTGAGCTCGCAGGTGTGTCCCTGAACTCCTGCCAGGCCTGGGTGGCGTATGGCCTTGTCCTACTTCCCTGAGGGTTTGCCCAGCCAGCGTGTCTCCAGGCCGGGCAGGGAGCCGGGCCAGAGCGCCCTCCACAACGCGCACTGAGTGCTGGAGCGAGGGCTTCATCCTGGGGTGTCCCACCTCCAGGTTACGGCCTCCATCATCCAGTTCACATAAGGGCACAGGGAGGGACAGGAAATGACTTCTTGGACGGCAGTTAAGGAGATGCAGGGCTGCGTCCCCAGCTGTTTCATGCAACTGTGAAGGTGCCAAGTTCTGGGTTGTGCTTTTGGAATGGAATGTCTTAAATGAGATATTTAGCTAAAATAAACAAAGCGTTTCCATGATACCTCATTTGCTGGAAAATCCAGAGACTGAGTGGCTGTGGGGGTGGGGAACAGGGAAGAATCGCAGCACTGTGATGAAACGGGGACTGGAGAGAGGGTGGCCCTGCTGGCACGTTCCCACAGGCAGACCCTCAGTGACACCACGTGCAGATGAGGCGGGAACAAAGGACAGTGCTCTGTGGTCACTGGCCCCTCTCCTTTGACTTCCTGGCAGGTAAGAACATCAGGGAATCTGCCCCGAGCAGAAAGGTGCCTCTTGCTGAGCGCTGTCCTGTTTGTCCAGAGGCAGCGTGGAACACAGTGACCTGCTCCAGGGACTGGCGCCTCCTGATGATGAGCCCGAAGTACCACCCTCCCTTCTAAGGAGCATCGTGGTTATACTTCTTCCCAAACAGATGTTTGTTCTTCTGGCACACCGTGCATCAACTCTTTCTCAGTCTTTGTTCACTGTCCAGCTCTCACATGCATATGGGGCAATGGAAAACACCATCGCCTGGGGCAGGTGCACCTTAGTCCTCAAAGTGACCTCTTTGCTTTTTAATGCTTTAAAGGGGCCTTTTGGTGCAGAATTGCCCAATGCAATTCCTACTTTGATTTCTTCAGCTGTGAATGTGCACCTACTTATTTGAGGGAGGGCAGAGGTTGGGGGTCTCCAAAGCAAAGCCTCCCCTATCACAGAGGCCAAGGACAGAGGGGTGGTCCAGAGGGGATGAGAGGAGAAGACAGCTGGAAGGCCCCAGTGGTAGTGCTGGCTTGCACACTGCAGACAAGCCTCCGCCTGCCCTGACCATCTGCAAAGCATTCCTGAAGCAGAGGGTGAGTCAGCAAAGAGGTGTGTGAGTGTGTGTGACAGTGTATGCATGTGAATGTGTGTGTAGGTCTACAAGTGTGCATGCATGTGCACACATGCATGTGTGCATGTCAGTGTGAGTGGATGTGGGTGTGCATGTGTGTAGTGTCCACCCAGGTGTGAGTATGGGCATGCATGTGTACTAGTGTGTGCATGTGAGTGTGAACATGTGTCTATGCATTCAGGTGTGCATGTGAGTGTGTAAGTGTGGGTGTGTGCTTCAGCTCCATGTTCATCACACCATTATTCACAAATAATATGCACACATGCACATGTGCACACACAGAGAGACAGGAGCATGCACATGCATGCACAAGATGTACCAACTTATACGCACTCACACACACGCACACACACTTATTTAAGCATACATATCCACACATTCTCACATTTGCATGCATACACATGCATGCACACACACAAATGCACGTATTCACTCATACACACATACACTCTCGCACATTTGCATATACATACGTACATGTACACATGCATATACATATGCACACATGTATACACAGTGCACACAAACACTCACAGATATGCACTTACATGTGCGTGCACACACATGCACCAATCTACACACTCACATGCATATACACACACTCATTTGTGCATACATCCACACATTCTCACACTTGCATGCATACCCATGCACACACATGCACACATTCACTTGTAGATACACACAGTCTCATACATCTGCATACACATGTGCACATAAGCACATATGGACACAAGCTCACACCAGTGTACACATTCACTTGCACACAAATACACATCCACAGACACGCACATGACACATACATGTATCAGTTTACACACACAGTCACATGCACACTCATTCACACACACATACATCCACATGTTCTCATAGTTGCATGCATACACATGCATGCACGCACACTCACACACATGCCCACATTCATTTGTATACACATACACCCTTACACATTTGCATACACACACACACGTGTGTGCATATACACATACACACATGTACACACACATATACACACTCACATACACATACCAGTCCCAGGTCTATGAGCAGCCCCAGCCCCAGCCCCAGCCCTAGCCCATGGCCTCCTACCCTGCAGCCTGGCCAGGCCCCCATTTTGGCCCTAACATCGGCCCCAGGCCTAGGCTCTGCCCCTAGGCCTTAGCTCCAGGCCAAGACATAGCCTCAAGCCCCAGTCCCCAGTTTACACAAGGTTCCAGCAGCCCACTGTGAGGTCCCTGGCACCAAAGTTCACATTGTGCTGTGGTCTGTCTTCATGAGTCCTTCTGGTCTCCTTTTCCCCTCTAGCTGTTGTGGGCACAAAGGGGCCCTCAGTCCCCTGCCATGGGCAGTAGTTTTGGGTAAATGTTTACTGGGCTGTGGGGCTGCTGTAATCTGAGGCTGTTGTCACATCACAAAACAAGTTAGATGATGAGCTGTCAAGTCCCCAAAAATTGACTATCGGAAGGGGGCCAGAGCTAGGCGTTAGTGGGAGGAAGGTCCCTGCTCACTGCCTGCTCTGTCGCTGCAGGACAGTGGGCATCTGCGGTTCTGGGTCTACTTAGGACCGACCAGCACACAGGACCTATAGCAGTTTCTGGCCTGGAAGAATGAAGAGTCTTCCAGGGGAAGAAAGAGGCCATCTATTCTCATGGTCTTGGCCAGGAGGCAGGCTGAGAGGGGCAGCCTGTCCAGGAGTGTTGTGTGGTCCTGTGCATACACAGGGTCCCAGGTGACAGCTTAGGGCCAGAATGTGGCATCAGGATTGGAAGAAGACTCATTAACAACCTGT